TATTATTATTATTATTATTATTATATTATTAAAAATTTGTAAAAACATTTATTTAATCACGACAACAATCAGATATTGTTCAGGAAGCGTCCCGATTCAGCCGTTTCCAGCCGAATTCGTCCCGATTCTCCAGTTCTCAATCCGATTCTGATCCGATTGTATCTTTCGCATGATAAAAAACGACCAAATCTGTCCCGACAGCGTCCTGATTCTCCCGAATGCGATCCGACAGAGATCAGACAGTGACCCGACGCTGACGGAAGACACCCGTTAGATCTGGACGCAATCTGGACTCAATCGGCAAGAAACGGCAATGAAAAATTTCTCCAGATCATGCACGTTCATTACGACAGCGTCCCGATCCACAGGACACCGTCCAGACAACACAGGACATTATTACGATTTTGATCCGATACAGCAGAATCTGTCACGACATAGTCACGATTCTAATCCGACTAGACAAAATCGGCTGAGTTTCCCGAATGTTACGGGACGCACCCAACTGTCGGGAGTGCTTGGCCGACCTCTCCGGAACATTCCCGATCCGTAGGACTCTGTTACGAACGTATACGACTGCGTTCAGACAATGATAGGACATTCCAGATCATTGAGGATAGCAAGCCGACTTTTTCACTTTTCATGTCGTAGCGCTGTCTGATCTCAAACGGGAGCCATAATCGGCACTGTGTGAACGCCGCATTACTTGGGTCCAACCGATGATCAATTACGAAATTACAACCGATTGACAACACTAATTGCTAGTACGCACCAGGTTGCTGCGGTGGCATCGGGGGCCGCGACGGAGCCATGGTGACCGAGGCACTGGAAGCCTGAACAAAGTTTGTCATGTTGCTTGCTGTCGACATCAGTGCCTGCTGCGGTGGCATCACCTGGTTGCTAGGGAGGCTCTGCGCTCCAGGAGGTATCGCCGTACCTTCGACACGACAAGAACCGGCATTAGCATGCGATAAACGTAGTCATCGTACCGATTCATACACCTTAAATATATATGGTGTCGTCACTGTGTGAAAAGAGGTGAAGAATCGGCAGGAAAAATAAAGGAATTGGCTAGGAGAATCTTTTATCTCTGGCGACAACAGACACCCTTCGCTTTGAGACGAGAATATCCTAGCCTGATAACGGTTTAAGGCACGTACGAGTAAGATCAAAACAAATCAAAATGATAATTTTCTCTGACTTGAACGGGATTAAAATGTAAAAATGTAGAGTTACATTTAGAATGCTTACTGCATTTACTGTCCACTGACAGTAAATCAGTTAGCAGATACTCACAAATCAGAAGCGCTTACGACACTGTCCCAAAACGGAGCACCCATACCTGCGATCCTACTTCACACCTTGACCAAGAACACACGAACCACAAAACCAAAAAGATAGAAAGACAAGAAGACTCGTCAACAGCACTCACCTGGCTGGTTAACCTGTATGGCCGAGATCTGCTGCTGCTGCTGCTGCTGCTGCTGGGCGGGGGTGCCGCCGCTGAGCTGCGTGGCGTGGGCGAGAGCAACGAGCTGCTGCGGTAGCGCCCCCGCGCCGCCGCCGCCGCCACCCCCGCTGCCGCCCCCGCTGCCGCCAGCCTGCTGGTTCGGCCGCTTGTCCTGCGCGTTCTTCAGCGGCAGGCACACGGGGCAGTCGGTGCGCGTGCAGTTCTTCCAGTGGCTGATGATCTGCCTCGAGGACGCGCAGTGCGGAACTGTGTGCGCGCGAAAACGAAGAACAAGTGAACGATTGGCCGCACCAACGGGCAACAGCGCCACTCATCAGCGTCACAAAACGAAGAACAAGTGAACGATCCGTTATTTGGCAGCAGGCGACGTAAACTTCCGAGGTTTTTTTTATGCGCACACGTCGCTTTGCGACCGATCAATCGAGAAACAATCGCACGTAAATCGAAAGTACCATCAATTAGAAGTATTAAACCTATCTCACGGCACGTTAATGTTTTTCCGACTAACAAGCGAACGGTCGATGACGAGCGCCGACATCACTTTTTCTCTTTTAAATTTGTCGTACTATTTACAGGGTTAAGGATACTCTCAACCTTTAGCACGGGTATTGCTCTAATGAAGATTAAACGTTTATTGACAAACGAATCGAATCAATCACTTGTTTTATTTATAGAGGAGATATATCTCTATGCTGAAAGCAAAAAATTTCATGAAATTTCCAGCACCTAATTATGTTACCACAAAAATGTTGAATTTTTATGTAAAAATGGTATTTTGGATATTTCTCAATTACCAGAAAGAGTGAGGATACAAAATTTTCGCCACATGTTAAGCACAATATGTTCCAAAATAGCGCAATGGGGATTTTTCTTTAAGCTTCATATTTACCAAGAAAAATTAAAAAAAAACTGCCTAAAATTCAAGTCGCACGTTTGAATTTAAAATTTTTGCGAATAAAGAGACAACTCATAAAATACGGCACTTAATAACAATCCCTGACGCGCTTTTTTACAGCAATATTTTACCATTAAAACGAGTGTAAAAGTAAATTATTCCGAGTTGTAATCACAGAGAAATATCCATTTATACATCGACTATTAAGTCAGAAATTGGAACGGAGAAATCAGCGTTTTTCTGACGTCAGCCGCGGCTCACTAGTCACTACACATGTACGCGGGCAAGCAAAACGCTCTGACAGTTCACATGTACCGTTATATGAAGAAATGAGCATGTACACAGGTGGCACATAGTGTTAGCCATCGAATAAAGTTGAAAATGAAAAATCGGTCAAAATTTTCCTAAAACCTTGAGAGTATCCTTAACTACGCGGGACGCCCCTCGCCTATCTGTCTCTCTTGCTTGCACGCGCTCTCCTTACTCACTGTCTCTCTCTCTCTCTCACTTCCACTCCCGCTTTCCTTATCACTTTCACTCTCTCTTTCGCACCCCTCTTTTTCTTTCTTTCTCTCCCTCTCTCTCTCTCTCCCTCCTGCCCTCTCACCTTCTCTCTCTCTCTTCTCTCCTCTCCTCTCCATCAACTACCCTAACGTCGCACACCCACCTTGACACGACCTTCCCGCCTGACAGGTCGTCATGTGGTTCAGCACGTCCTTCATCGTCTTGCAGTGCGGCAGGTTGCAGACGCGCGTCTCCCCGTTCGGTGCCTGCTGCTCGCGCCGCTGGCACTTGTGCGCGTGCAGCAGCAGCACCAGCTGCTGCTGGATGAGCTTCCGCTTCTCCGGGTCCGTCGTCGGACCGGACCCCGTCGGGGCGGCCTGCCTCTGCAATGCGGATGTTTTCCGGTTACACTACTTACATAGCAGGGCTTCTTATACATAAGAGGCACAGTGGCGCACCGCTGTTGTCTAATTTAACATCGCCATTGTGAAAATGGTTTCAGGGTGCCTCAAATGCTGTCTAAGACATTCAAGTTTTTTTTAAAATTTGGAGGGGAGACTCCCCAGAACCCTTCCCCCCAGCGAGAGGGGGCGTTCCACTTCTCCTCCTTATTCCCCCCCCCCCGTCCTTTGAATCCATCATGCGTGTTTTTTTTCCAAACTGGCCATTACCTCCTTTTTTTTTTACCTCCAAAATTTTCCGCCACATGCTACACTACTCGGTGTCGGGATTAGCAGCTCGGCCCCTAGCGTGGGACGGTGGGACCGGTAACCTTTGAGCAGAACTGAGCAAAATTTTCTTCCACGTGTTACACTACTAGGTGTCGGAACAAGCAGCGTGGGGCCGGTAACATTTGAGCAGGATTGGCTGGAACTAGGGACTTGTCTCCAGCGTGTGTAGAGACTGCACATTTCCGCTTCAAAATTTGCCAAATTCCGTTTCGGAGATTACTAAATTATACTTCAATTCCGTTTCAGCAAATTTCTACATTTTAATTCAGAAATAATTAAAATTAAGAGAAAACACTGATGAATGCCTGTTCAACATATATACAGCACTGATGAGCCTGATGCTTGAAGAAAAAAATCCTGGTCAATTTGAAACTGTAACTGTCTTGTGTTGGTCGTTATGCTAAATTCTGAGTTATGATCTGTGAGTTGAGAGTGAATTTTGTTTATATACTATTTTGCAGGATCATAAGTAACATGAACAAACAACCAAAGAATAGATGCAAGTTTGAAAAGACATTTTTTATAATAATTTTGTGTGTGTTGGGGGTGATTTGAGCTGTTTTAAAGGTTATTTTTGTGTTTTGGGAGGTTATTTTTGGTGAAACTGGTGATTCCGTTTCAGAGGGGGTGATTCCGTGATTTCCGTCGATTTTCCGTTTTCATGGAAATGTGCAGTCTCTACGTGTGACTGGTAAGTTTTGAGCAGGATTAAGCAAAATTTTCTTCCACGTGTTACACTACTAGATGATGGAACAAGCAATGTGGGGCCGGTAACATTTGAGCAGAACTGAGCAAAACTTTTCGCTGCATGTTACACTACTCAGTGTCGGAACTAACAGCGTGGGACCGGTAACTTTTGAGCAGGATTGGCTGGAACTAAGGACTTGTCTCCAGCGTGGGACAGGGACTGGTAACTTTTGAGCAGGATTGAGCAAAATTTTCTGCCGCCTGTTACACAACTGCGCCAGAACTAGGGACTTGTCTAGGACCAGTAACTTTTGAGCAGGATTGGCTACTTTTTTTTTACGAATTTTACTATGGGTTGTATAGTAGATGTCATAAATTTCCAACAAAAATGGTGCTGGTTGGGTTTTCAGACTTATTTTTAAGACTGTTATACTCTAACTAATTATATTATCCTAATTTGTAATCAACATTTGTACGAATCAGTAAATCGTTTTATGGCCAGTGGTTAACTGGACTCCTGCTACGGTTACAGGGTTAAAATATAATTTCTGTCTCGTTAAAGGTGATTTTACCTAATCCTTTTTGAAAAGTTTATTGAAGACAAATCTAGGTGCATGGCCAGTAGAAATACTTTAAACAATAGCATACAATGAACGGTACGTGAATTTAGGTGCACGAATAGAGCAAATCAATGAGAAAAGTTTCGGTCGAAGCCCAATATAGCCGTAGATACGTAATTACCTGAGATTGTCCCTGTATCGCTCCGGGAACAGTAGCTTGCAGGCCTCCCGCTACCTGCGCCTGTGCGGGTGGCGCCATCGTGGGTCGGTTTCCCGCAACCGTCGTCACCGACGACTGTGAAGAAGGCGAGGGGCCCGTCAGCGACGACACCACGGAGTTGTACAGACTATATGAGCTCGCGTTGCTGTAGGTGACGGTGGGATTCGTTGGTGCCAGCGAGCTGTTCACCAGCTGTCAAAAACACAAGCGTCGATCGTTAGCTTACCATTAATTACCCCGCGACATGTCAAAATAATCATAAAACAGTCGAGAAGTAAAGTCTAGTATATTGCAGAAACCCTGTGACTGTGAGGTTGGGAAATATTTAGAATTGCATAAATGTTCGTGTTTCGAATGCAGAAGCATTGTCTTACTGTAGGCAATTGTATACCCACCTCTACAATTTAATTACGTGCAAACATTACGGTCACAAACCTGATATATCAACAATAAGCGTATTCTTATCGATAACAGCTCAGCAAGGTGAATGTAACAGCAGCTACTGAACATCAAACCTCGATGACAAGCTAACTTCTCACACGTAAACAAATTTCATGAAATAGTCTGGGCCCGCACATAACACAGATCCAGAGGCTACGAGTCGCATCGTTACTCCAGCGCAACAGCGTTAAATTGCGCATGGGCCACTGTTGGCACAACGCCAACAGCTGACTTGCTATATTAGTGTGTAAATATGGATAATCCAAGGACACTATTCAAGCGAGGCTACTGAATGACTAAACAGACACATGTATAATTTGCAACTATAGCATTTACGATAGCGAGTGATGGGCCACACACATCAACTTGTTCAGAATCCAGGTATGCACCTACGGTGCAACTATTCCACATTCATGCAGAGAAAGAATCACACACGACTAAACTATTCAGTATCAAAGTAAATATAGAAAGGTCACATATGAGTAAACAATTTAGGATCAAAGTTTTGAAGAAAATGTACAAAAGCACAGTTTTTAAGTAACAGCATCCGAGTAGCGATAAAAAGATGAATATCACAAAGCTAATCAGTACGTAAGCCTGTAAGCAGAGACCGAAGCAGTAAGCACACACGGTTAAACTATTTAACATGCAGATAGCATTTCACTTTTAGCATTCATGCAGAGGTAGAAACTCTTCAGACTCTAGTATATTAGCCAAGCAAAACGAGAGATCAGATGGTGAATTTTAACTTCGGAAAAGTTGCTATGCCACACACTGACACAGCAAATGTTAACAACACAGACTGTAAATCCAGTGTCACAGTTTAACCGTTCCAATCAGTATCAGAAATAGCAGCCTCTCACCCAGTCCAGGACTAGTAATTTTAGTACTAATACTCTAATTAGTAATTACTAATACTATAACAGTGTTTCCCCTGCATTGACACGAGCGAGGCGGGCTGCCACGCTCAAATTCTCAGCCGCCACACAGAAATTTGTCCAAAACACCGCCTCGCTGACGAAAACCACTGTTCTTCCAAAGAACAATGCTTATAATGCACCAAATTGCACCATTTTTTCAAACATTTTCCAGGGGGGCATGCCCCCGGAACCCCCTAGCTGGGCGAGCACCTGTGGTGCGCAAACACACCAAAAATAAATTTACTAACTCACAGACCTTTTGGGCCAGGGAAACACTGCTATAATAAATATTGACTACTAATAGCACTAATAATTAATAGTACTTAGCATTAATTATTCGCTAATTTCTATGAATTTTACTTACAGCTTACTTAACGGGAATTAAAATTATTTTTTAAATCAAGACAAACTCGGTTTTTGGACCCCCCCAATACGCGACCGATCTGAGATATCAAGAGAGAGAACTCCCGGGCGCGTGCGATCACATCGCCACTCACCTGCGAGCGTATCTGCGCCTGGCCGGGAGCCTGCGAGTTGTTCATAGCGAGCATGTGCGCGGCGGCGCCGGCCCCCGTCTGCGGAAGCGCGTGCGCCGTCTGCATCGAGTTCATCTGCGGCAGCGACTGGCCTATTGACAGCGGCGCGCCCGTCACCGACTGCTGCTGCTGCATCATCCCACCGTGAACGAGGCCGCCGCCGCCGGGACCACCGCCGGCGCCGCCGACCGATACGCTGTTCCGCGTCAGCGTCGGGCCGGGGCTTGTGTTCACATGCAGTCCGTTCATCAGCTGGTTCGAGAATTGCACTTGGTTCGGATTCACCCCGCCGCCGCCCGCTTTCGACGCGCCGGCGTTGCTCGCCACCGAGTAGACGCCGCCGCCCGTCGGCGCGCTGCCGCTCGAGTAGACGGCGTTCGACGCGCTGTGTGACGATGCGACGTCGTTCAGGTGCGGGGTGCTCGAGGTCGGCAGCGACTTGAGCGCCACGTTGGGTGGTGACGCGAGGCTGTTGGCGGGACTGTGCTGCACGTTGCCGGCGTGCTGCGCGAGGGCGCCGCCTGCGCCGGGCCCGCCGCCGGGACTCGGAACGTGGTTTGTCTGTGGACTGCTGTTGGCGCGGTTCACGTTGACGGGCCCCGCTTTGCTCTGCAGCAGCCTGGTCAGCGACGAGTTATCCGTGGCTAGGGATAAGTGCGATCCGTCTAGCGAGCCATTTGGCAGGCTCTGGACCATGTTGCCCCCACTATTTACAGCCGGTGCACCCATGTAGATCTCTCCCAGCAAACTTTCGAATGGATCTGAAACAACGAGAACAACGCATGAGACACCTAATGAAATCGTATTCAGTCACGGTCCATATTACCTGAAATATTAAACACACTGTTATTTACGCTTTGCTACCGATACTGAGTGGGAATTATATCTGCAGCTCAGTTATGCATATTTACATTCTCATCTTGAAGTACCGGTACTTGACATATACTTGAATTGTTATCTACATCTTTTCTGACATATCACTCACAAGTACATGTAACTCTAAAGTATTATATGCTTGCGCAAGAAAAAAAATTTCATTTCAGGTCACATAATTACTAGGTACGTACAAATTCAATTTTTGAATAGTATAAAATTATACTAGACACATGACAGTTTAAATATTTAGCCGCAAAAGTAAACGATGACCAACAAGAACAGTTTGAAACGTTTGACATAGGTATTATCTAGACAGCCTAACACTCATCTTCTCACGCACTCTTTTCATCTTCTGATTTACTGAATTCAAAATCACATGTGAAGACTCTTAAGTTTAAAATCAGAATTTTTACATCACAGAGCCAGCATATATCGATGTTAGTATGGCTAGCAGCAGGTTGACAATGCCCGCGACCCTGGTGGAAAAGGAAAACACCAGGACAAGGAAACGCAAAATTTTGGTTTGATAAAATACTCATACACATTAATTTAGGATCATAAACTGTTCATCTTGAAGTAGGTTTCTAAAGAGCATAACTACGAGCAGTTTTATTTCACCCGCGCTTCAAGGAGTCTTGGAACACACACCGATTGGCAAAACCTTTCCTTGAAATGAAAGTTCAAGCAAGTATTCTCACACACAACCCAAAGGGCGATATTCAACTATATAATAAAACTACATCAAGTTATTAAACACATGAGTATACGCACTTCAAGACAATTGGCAAGACTTGTTATTTATTTATCTTGTTGGCTGTTTGGTGGCCTTCAAAATTTTTGATTACGAATTTAGTCCAGACAAAATGATGACAGATCCAGGCACAGTAAAATAAGAGGCACGATTAGCTACATGATACGACAACTTGGGCCGTTTGAAATTGAAAAATGTGACAGAAAATATCAAATAAGGCTGTAAAATGTGGAATATACGTACCATTTGCGGCTGATGGAAGACCGGGAGAGAGTTTTTGACGTTTGTTTGGTGGAGCGTCCCCGATGTGGTCGGCCATGTTTGTTTTGGTTCCCGAAAAACCAAGGCGAATTTCGCCTCAAAACCTCACAATATATGGTACGAATACCACTTACTTGAACTTAATAAACAGAAAATTCACTATATTTTAACTTCCGACCGCCAGAAGTCATACTGACAGGCACAATAAATAAAATTAAAACCCTGAGTCCGCATCGTGAATCTGACGCGCACAAATCTTTTACCATCTCACATGACGACTATTGTCTTCCACACTGAGAAGAACACTCTGCCGTTTTCGCCTCTATATATCTCTATTGAGTCTTTATAAACTTCTCTGGCGAAAACAGGCGGCATCTGACCACAGGAATTGTAGAAAATTGAATAGAAAACCTGAAATAAGACGGTGCGAAATCTACCAAAATGGCCGCTGTTGATGGAAACTTTATTGAGAAAATGCCGAATATTCCCGAACGGAAACACCCGGACACAGAGCTCATTAGCATAATATCACGTGCTTCGAATACGCCACTCCTATTGGATACATATATAATACTCCACCTAGTCGAAGTTTGTACAACTTCTGCAAAAGTATAACGTTAAATTATACTTTATAGCATATACAGAATACCGAAGCATTAAATATAATAAAGCCGAATACAATTGTAGTTATTATAAATTGCTATCATTATTTGATTATTCCTGTTGTTACGGTTTCGCCTATTATAAGATAATATGTGTAGGAAATAAATTAATATAGTTTGGGTTGAGCCATGAGCACGTGAAGTGCAACCTTACATATTATTATGAACCTATATATGCCTACAGGCTTAGACTTATATCGTACATACCATGGAATAAGTTCATTTCTCATTTAACAGTCCAATTAACTAATAAACCTAAATGATTTACACAAAATGATTCCATGTTCTAATGCGTTAAATTAGCAGGTATCTGCGAAATGTGTAGACCATGCAGTTTATTAACTTTCTCCCGTTATTATTTTATTACATAATAAACAAGATACCTATATTCACTCTCTGGTTTTCATTAAAACGTTGGGATAGGAAACAGGTAATGCAGAATGAATTTATATGCCGGATTATCAACTGTATAAATATTTTCACTCGACCTAGCTGTATCTTAATGTGATAGAACTATACGAGCAATGTACAAACAGTAGATGACACCAATGTACACCCAGTCCAACGATAGATCGATCAGTATAAAGTTATATAACAATATTAGACACACACAAACATGCGTGGGCGTTCACGCACGTGTACGTGTACGTGTTCGCGTACACACCACACGCATACAGGCGCGCGCACCCATGCACACTTGCACACGCGCGCGCACACATTATACGCACGTACATGCGTACGTCAGTTATATAACTTCACGCTTATAACTAATATTCTTCATAGTTCAAAGGTCCTTCATAAAATATTGCAGAATTTACCTATTGTTCTGTTCGCCTACAACAACACACTGTCTGTGTTTTCGTGACCATATTACATACTTTAAAAGACCAATAGGAATTATTTGCACCTCCTAGGCCCAAAAGCGTCGCCGCGGCACAAAAGTTGAACTCACCTAATAAGTTCAAGTTTTACCGTACCAGCTCACTCACTTCGTCGCGCCAAACGTACGCACGTACACACACGCATGCACGCACGCACGCACGCATGCACGCGCACACGCATGCACGCACACACGCATGCACGCACACGTGCATGCACGCACACGCATGCACGCACACACACATGCACGCACACACGTATGCACGCATGCACGCACACACGCATGCATGCACGCACACACGCATAGATGCACGCATGCACGCAGACACGCATAGATGCACGCATGCACGCACACACGCATAGATGCACGCATGCACGCACACACGCATAGATGCACCTCTGCAGCGCATACACGCCACAAGCGCCGCTACGCAGGAAAATGTTCTGTACGGCGCGGCAAATACGCAGGAAATTTTCGATTGTAGGTTGGGGGGGGAGCCGGCCCAAAGTCCGTACTCCCACTGCCCTCTTATTGTTTTTTTCTTAATTTGCGCTATTTTGTCCCATTAAAAATCGATATCTCTGTCTAAAATCTCTAGGGCGTCCCTGCTGCCCCCGCTGCGTACGGCCCTGTACACGCATGCACGCACACACGCACGCACACACACGTGGCACGCATATGCATGCACTCACTCATGCACGCACACGCGCGCACGCACATGCGCGCATCCACACACGTGCCTACGAACACGCGCGCACGCACACGCGCGCATCCACACACGTGCCTACGAACACGCGCGCACGCACACGCGCGCATCCACACACGTGCCTACGAACACGCGCGCACGCACACGCGCGCATCCACACACGTGCGCGTGAGTATGGAATCACACGCGTACATTTTTCGTTGCTGCGACTCCAACTGTGATCAGACTGGGCTGTGTCTCCTCAATGGGGCTTAAACGCTACCACGTTCATTTTAGATGTGTAATAATTATATTCTGTGTGAAGATCTCTATGCGCCACCTTACGCTTCACATGTTAGCTGAGCGACAAAGCCACACCTGGATCCAAAATCTAGGATCCGCAACCGACACTATAGGAGTTAACCCAATTAACGGAGTTACAATTAACCTTTGTTAATTAATTTACTCCTATATGTTCATGATACTACCGATCTATTTGTACAGATTGTTGAAAAAATGCAGTTTCCAAGATACATAAAACAAGCTTTACCGTGTATTTAGTTTATCATAGTTTATTGTTAGGTATACACACTACATAACACTTGTGACAGACACACATGGAAAGATAACAAATGTATTCAACATAATTTTTTGACCAATTGAATGAGGTATAACTGCCCACAACTACTCCAAAAATGTTCAAAATTCATATTCATAAAAACTCGACATAATTGCATTCTTATCAGCTATTATTCTTCCATAAGCACAGTAAAGTATCTGGAGAATCCATAACAGTTCAGTTAACAATAAAATATAGTAACCAGCACATGACTTCATTCAGTGGAATAACAGCAGAAATAAACCGGGAAAAAAACTGTCGAAAAATAGTGGAAATGAACCAATGAATTCATGAATGGAACCAAGGAACCAATGAATAATTTTAAATAATTGAAATTTAATGGATAAATTGACATGTAATGCGCCCATTACATAACGACAAAAATGTAATAGTGGTTGGCGATGGCAATCATTGGATGTTAATTCTAAGTTTAGACAAATTAATTTACCCTGCTATCATCGTCAGAGTATTCGAGATTAACCTGATCCCAAATTCAATTGTCATTAGATTAATCCTCGATCACTCACGTTTATCATATGTGCAACCAAGTCAACTAATACAATATAAAAAAAAATATCACAACAGAAAATATGGTGACGGTGGATTACCAAATTCATTTCTCCTATACCATATATATATACCATTAAACTCAAATGCTGTGGCACGATATCTCGTAAAATTTTCGGACAAATGCAGAATATTTCATCATGGCTGTCTCTTCGCAAATCAATGTCATTTGCTGCAATGAATTCCACACATTTTGCACATAAACTTCATGCTTCGATGACCAGATTAAGAACATGGAAAACAATTGAAAACCCTAAACTGCAGAACACCAAGTTCATTACTAAAGACTGGAAGTGCAACCACGTGATCTAACTTACTCGCCAGTTGTTATGGTAAAGACTTGTTCAACACGAAAATACATATGAAGGTCTGCAGTCTACCGCTACCAGTCATACCCTGAACATATCTATGCAACTGTATAGATAATATATTGTATAGACATATGCAAATGTATACAGACAATTGCATATATTCTATAGATATATTCGTGCAAATACTGTAATGAAACATATTGAAGATAGTCGAAAGCTATTTTTTGATCACCGGTGCTGCACATATACGAGCACATTTTGAGATAATCATGTAATCACGACCATATACGCATACCATATAATACATATATATGTTCAAGGTGTTGATGAACACTGCAAAAAAAGCACGCACATCATATATACCTGCACTCCAGACAACTCTGCAGTTTATTGCCATACAGATACAGAGACTCCCCGACTTAGGAACAGGTTCGGTTCCGAGCAATCGTTCGTAAGCCAATTTGTTCGTAAATCGAACATATGTAAGTACGTACACAGTATTATACAGTAGTGTAGTATATGTACGTGTGAACATCGAGTAACCTAGAAGTGTACATATAGTGTAAACATATACGTGAACACAGGAGTTGGCGAAACTCAAAATCAGGGGGGCGATTGTCTTTTTATTCACCAATATTGACATTATACACTATAATGGACTTCAGGGCAAATTGTTCGTATCATCGAAAGTTCGTAACTCGAATGTTCGTAAGTCGGGGAGTCTCTGTATAAAACTTTGTTAATGCTGCTAACCATTGGCACTGCAAAGCTGTATCACCGGTGTCACCAGCTCAAGTGTTCAATCAATTAACGTTGACAGTCACTAATGTACAAATAATATATTTGATGATGGATACACCCTATAGATTATCGTGCAAGGTTACGTCGTAGATACACGGACATATTTTTAACAAAAAAACTAGTTTTTTAGAAGTATTTAATCATTGCATTGGTTTAGTCATCACTACCTAGAAAGTGTAGGAGAGTAGGCAGGCACATGGTAAGTGTGGGCCAGTAGGCTAATACGACAGAGAAGTCAAAAGCACAGATCAATTATGCTTTGTGCACATACTCTTACTTAGACTGGTGCCGTGACCAGGATCTCAGTTTAGTAGGTGCCGTAGTGGCACCCATTTTAAGGGCAGTGTCAGGTTGCGTCGATAGATAACAGAAACACAGTATTATGAAAACTACTGCTCGTGCGTCTATTTCAGCCTAATCAAACACAATCCTACGATACTAAACAGATATGTCTCTAAGTCGTAACACTCGCGCCCGTGTGTCGCGTAATCGAATACAAGTAATTCCGTACCTTAGAGAGGAGGTTCGCGGAGGCGCTCGGCGGGGTGAAGGTAGGTCGGTGGAAGGTAGAGCGGAGAAGTATCACTGGAATAGGGTGTAGGAGCTAGGCGAAAACTGGACTTGCTGCGGAAAGGATGAGAGCCGAGTCGTTACCTGGGGAATAACCATATGGCAGATCGGCCCTCGAGTCATTAGCGTACTCGGATGCTAAGGGCATGGTGTATAGTGATTACCTGCGGCGTTCTATTATTATTTATCACTTGGAGCGAAGAGGTGTGTTGTTTCTAGTGATTGCATTTGGGGAATAGTGTGAGGCGATATATTTACTCTTTGCGGGAGCGTGCGCTATCCTGCAGCAGCATCACCAATAACACGGTCATGGGAATGAAGTGCATGTGGTATGGTTGAGCTCGATGTAGATTGCAATGCCAATGTGGACAGTATCATGTATGACAGGGCGGTGATATTCACGGCCAAAGGACGGGTTTTCAGCTAGCAGATAATAAATCAATGGCAGAGTACGATGCTTAGCTTTGCTGGTTAACGTTATCGAATGTGATCACTCTCATAAACCGCAAACGTTAGATAACAGAATATAGTGTATTTCGTAATAGTGGCTTTTACTTTTAGTGCACACATCTAGGCCTAAAGATTCAATTTACGCACAGCCACATATGCTGCCTTCCAATAAGAATGAATTGCATATTTCACTAAAATCAACATCAGAAGAAGTGCTTATACATGCAATTAAACACTCCTAGTTTGGGACCCCGGCCCTCATTTCTCGCAAATGTGCTAAGCTAATCCGCGGTGCTAAACTATAGGATTGGTACTATCTAAAATAATACTGCTAGTGCTAAACTTATAGTGTGAATGATTATCCTCAGCATTGATGATGTTTACATGGGTTCTCGTGTAACAGCCCCAACCTGCATCCACATAAGCAGGTCTATCTATGTATAGTCCTTCGATTTTCACTTCACAACAGGGAAACCTCATAACCTTGTGATAATATTCTTAAACGTGTAGGGTGGCTGTAATGAAATGAGGGAGATTCAGTGTTGGTTAAAGTGACATGGTTATGAAGCGATGGGCTACATGTAGATACAATAATGTAACTCAACAGAGTAGTAATGGACCCTATACTCTTGTTGGCTTACATTATGGTATCTAGGCTACATATGGGTTTAGCTGGCAGTGCCGCCCAACAAGCCCGACCCTGTAAGGTGATGTAATAGGGACATGCGCTTTGTTATTCACAATGGAGCTCTGTCTAGACTCTAGATACAATAATGTAACCCAACAAGAGTAGGGGTTACATTATCTGGTACGCTTGTGTGCATTGGGTCTCTACATACCCTGCTCTTGTTGGGTTACATTATTGTATCTACTATAGCTGGCCAATTACTTCAAGCACAATGCGATATGTTCATTAAGCTAATATTGCTTCTCTAATAGGATGCATGGTCTCTAATATTAAAATGACTTAAAATGTATTCCGATGTCTTTTGGCAGGGCTCCTCTTTCAGCTTCATATGCAAGCCAGGTACCCTGTAAACCACATCAGCTGTAACACACGGGTGAGGGTTTCACCCGAACCAAAACTGCGAACCCAGTGTGCCTCCTTGTCTCAAGTCACCTGCCTGCCATCTTGTTCTAGATTTGTCACTACAACAACTCACTCTACCACACTGTGCACTTCTCCAGCATGCTACTATAAACAAGCAATCAAATTGCCTCAATCACAGGTGCAATCACTATACCCAGATGGTTCACTCCCAGTGTTGAACCTCAGCATACCCCCATTTAATTTCCAGCCAAGGCAAGCCCCGAGGACACAATTGATTTGAACGTCTTTGGAATGCTGTAGCCACAATTATTTTTTTTTGTAAAAATGGCGACGCCGACTACATGGGTACGTGTGAAAAGAGGTAGGAGACGGACTCGCCATTGTGCGTACGCCTGATGGCTTCTCCCAGAATCATCGAGATGTCTATGCACTGCAACGTAAAGAAAATTCACAGAAATTACGAAATCGTCCGACAATTTCACAGAAGGACACACTGCACTGAAATTATGAATTTCAAAGAACAATCGCAAGGTGCCATTAATATACAGATAACATCAGAAGTTTATCAATAGATTTGATCAATAATATTGATACTCCTGATAACATCATGGAGTGATAATGATTATCTGGAGCACAAAATTGCACTGGTGCTGCTGCTGCTGCTAAGACTATCACCACTACTGCAACAACCATTACTGCAAGATATAAATGAATCATGCCACATAAATTTTCATAACCTGTTGCCGATTTGTGAACCATATTCAATAGAATATACTACACCTACGGAGAAAACGTCATTTTCCTCACCCTTCTGAGTTACATAATTGTGTTCGATTGTTTTCCATCTGCATTTCTGGTTACGTGCACAGTGCACTATATTCGACCAGTTAGGTGAAGGGTGAAAATGCCTATTTTTTGTTCTGACAACTGGATCTTAATAGAGATCGAGTAACTCAGTCTATCAATAGGCCAATACAGCAATCAATAAAAAATAACAAGTGACCTATGATACAACACAATGTAGACTTCCGTCTACTCGACAGAGGCGCCGGTGAAACTCAACACTCCGTACCTGGATCTTTGACGTCTGCTTCATCTTCTCGTCCTGCGGTATGGTCGTCGTGACGACGACAGCCTCGATGGCGGAGTTCTGTATGCGTGAGACGGCGGGACCCGAGAAGATGCCGTGCGTTAGTATGGCGTACACCTTAGCTGCTTCCGCCTCAAACAACCTGCAGATGAAGCGGAGTCAGGTGAATTGTCGTGAATGAGCCACGGCAGTAGAAGTCGACAGTGAAGTACAATAAATCCGAATAACCTCGGCATGTGTTAACAGCCGAAATTAACGAATCACGGTTGTTTTTCACTAGCATACGATGGAGCCAATTACGGTTTGAAGTGACTATTGAAGTTGACATGTGAAGTATATTTTTATTTTTTTTAATTGCATAAAACGCAATTACTACCAACTAGCTCTGGTTATATCTTCACCAATGCCTAGTAAAGACTTGGTTAGACTAGTTAAACATATAAAAAATTAGAGTGAGTTTGCCTTTTTGGCACGCATTAAAATTTCTCATCGTGAAAAATGTACGGTTGTAGGTGTTTATTTACATCGAGATGAACAGCAAAACAAAGGCATAAATCAAAAATTTAACAATTGAAGAGTGAACAAAATCACATAATACCCATGTTTTCAAACTTTATAGCCTGTAATAAAAAAATTTACCAGTTGGTACTAGATAAGACCAGAGTTTAGTTAGAGAGAGTAGTTATTAGTCAGTTAGTTAGTTAGATTGTTAGTAAGTTAGTCAGTTAGCCAGCCAGCCAGCCAGTCAATCAGTCAGTTAGTTAGTCAGTCATCACCTTAATCTAGCGCACGCGACCTCGCTTACTTTTCCGCTGCATGACACAGCGTACCGCACGTGTCGGCCATGTCGTCGACGAGAATGGCAATCTTGTCCTGCACGTCGCCCACCAGTACCATCGAGGCAACCTCGTTCGCCTTCTTTCTCTCCTTGTGGATGAGCGCAAACTCCACGTTGAGTCGGTCGGCTATCGAAGTCACCCTGCAGCGAACAAACGCGTGGAGCATTCGAACCCGTGTGGAAAATTTAATGTTTCCGAGCAAGTACCATATATAGCGTGAATGTTAAAAATATGCTGTTGATTACAAACTGTCTCTCTCTCTCTCTCTTTCTAGCTGTCTGCACCTATGCCTGTATCCCTCCTATTTCACTTTGATATTCTGTGAAACAAACTAACCAGTTTTCCTACTTACAACCGTGTTATAATGCACTTCGAAATTCACCATTTTTATCAATTTTTGGTTTTCTACACGAGGAGAGGATCGAGTGTCGGTTAACATTTAGATTATTTTCTTACACAAAACACACTTTTGCACTGATGCCAAACTCCCTCAACTTACAAACTCCCCCAGAGTGAGATGAGCCCACATTAATTGATACAATTCTGTTTTGCCATAGCATGAGAGTTAATACACGTATTGACACACATGATCTGTCTGAAATAGAACACACTGTTGTACATATAACAAAGAGTGAAACTAGATTGATTAAGTGAGTGCGTAACTAATTAAAAGATGATTAATTTCGATGGAGACAGTCTGACCTCTTGGCCCCGCCAGCATCTGGTGAGACAATCACACAGTTTCTCCACTCCGTTATGTTCTCCTTAATCCACTTCAAGACGGCTGGCTCTGCATAAAGGTTGTCCACTGGTATGTCAAAGAATCCCTGCGCAAATGCAAAGGCATGGATGTGTTAAATAAAGCATTGAATCGCCAATTGCAAAACTGATTGGATCTGGGTGCACCATGGTGTGCATCCAAGTGTTACTTATTTTGTCACCGCTACTGTGTGAATGGAAGCTCCACATTTCGGTGCACAGTAAATGACACAATCTTAAGATAACCTAATTCGATGCAAAGTATTCAAACCTGTATTTGTGATGCGTGAAGGTCTAACGTCATGATATGGTCTGCTCCTGCAGCCGACAGCATGTTAGCAACCAACTTGGCAGAGATGGGCGCCCGACTCTATGTAACAGACGTAGGAAACCTCGATTACACAAATAGATCTGTCGAAAATCATTACATCTAAAACGATATATTCACACAAGTAAAGGGGTTTCACTAGCATACCAAATTTCTCACAAGTGCACAGGTGCACTAGTAGCAGACTGCCGGAAAACGTTGAAGGAGATTATAGTACACACGGGTGCAGACAGACACATGTACACACACCCAACCACCTACGCGCGCACGCGCGCACGCACGCACGCACGCACGCACGCACGCACGCACGCACACACACACAGACGTAAGGTACCACCTTGTCCTTCTTATCCTGGCGTGCGTAGGGGAAGCACGGGATGACGGCAGTGACGCGTGAGGCCGATGCGATCTTGCACGCATTGATCATGATGAGAAGCTCCATGAGGTTGTCGTTCACCTCCCCACAGCCACTCTGCACGATGAAGACGTCCTCGCCTCGCACCGACTCACCGATCTCAACGCTGGAAGACCAAATCACTCCAGTTATTGAAGACAAAATCACGCATTGGTTATTGTCCCCATAGGTATAGTTATAGTCACACAAGAAGACAGCTAGGGTATGACTATGTACATGCAGGGTTTTTCCCAGAAATTTAAGAAAGCATATTGTTTATGGATGAATGGCTGGGTACTGCCTGGAGTCAATTATGTGTGTTATAAGTGGGCCTAATAGACAGGTAAACTCTATCAGTTTGGTGGCGTATATGCCAAAATATGAAACCATAGCATGACTGTTGGGATTCTCAAATGTAAACACACATGAAACCTGAAAATTAAGAGGTACGTGTCGATAAGCATTTAAGGCATGTTGGAGGATTCATGGGATGTCGCAAATTAGCTTCTGCTTCAAAGGCATGTCAGACCTGACATGCATTAAAGGCCTGGGAAGAATCCCAATATAGAACATGGCCACAGAGTTGTATGGGGAGGCAAATCTTTTACATGTACACAGAGTGTTTGTTTGCCTGTCTACTACAGTGGTATTCCCTCGCTTGCATATAATTATAGCCACATATACACTTTGTTTATCTTGGAGACACGCGTACTACGTATGTAATGTTTACTTAAATACGCTAACCACTATGCACTATATGATACGTAATGATAACAATGCATAAATAGAATCCCGTCCAACATGTGTGTATTGTGTAATTTTTATTTGCACTTACAAATGTTGCGTAAGTGTGAGTGAGAAATGACGGGAACTATCGTGGCAAGACAGATTACCGCCTATCAGGCTTATCACAACCAAGCAGTTGTCAAAAGGATTGGAGACATAATTACTGTGTACCAAAGTTAGAGAAAAATTTCATTTTTTAGCCAAAAATCATCCCTAACCAATGCATGCAATCCACTATATATACACAGTAAAGCAGGATCTTCAGGATAATATCCCAAAGTGACTCTGGATGTGGCTTAATTGGACAAGTACTTGGAATGGAGAATGGTACTTCCAGGATTTCCAAAGGATGGAAAAAGCTTGCAGTTGATGCATGAATGATGATATGCGTACTGCACGTTCAGTTATGCTATGTTCTTACACACTTAAGGCTCGCTCAGGTCGCCCTACGATTTGACTGTCAGCGACTACTTTATCGCCGATTAGCAGCGTAGCAACACTCACGTCGACTTGAAGTGCCTTCACGCTATACATCGCCGATCAGATCGTAGCGTTCTCGCAGGAAACGTAGACGGGTTTGCGGCCCCAGTATTTGTACTAGCCAGGGCTCGAATTAAGCGATGAGAAGGGCAAGGCAATTTTTTTTAGGGCATGTGAGAAATCGCCTTGAATTTTCTCTAAAATCGAAGGACACAGAGGCAATTTTAAAAGGCACCAAGGCAACTCTCAAAATTTGAGAAGGGCACAAAGGCACTTTTGTAAAATAAAAGAAAACTCATAACAAATTAGTACATCAACATCGTCTTGCTTTTAATGTACAAAACAATATGCCCCCATGTAAGCTTACACCGTAACACCGACCCCTGTACCCCTCTCTGCTAATGGAAGTACAGTAACAAGAAATTTTACATGCCCGCTATCAGGAGCGAATAATTATCCGATGCTGTTATTATTCCCTCCTGTGACTATCGGTTTTAAGCTCATCATTGCAACTACAGCACGCACGCGCACGTGTTATGTTGACTCGACTAAAAACTAGGGCAGTAGATTAAAGGGCACCGACGGCAATTACACAAAAGGGCAAGGCAGGTGACTGCCGTCGGTCGGGTTGGATTTTCAGGGGCAGTACGGCGATTGATAGGGGCACCGACGGCAATTGCCGTCGGTGCTGCCGGTTAATTCGAGCCCTGGTACTAGCACAAGCAGTTCTTTAGCACAAACAGAGCAAGCTTGACGCCGGGACCAGTCTACATAAAACGAGTCACGTACGTGACCAACAAAATGGCGCTTACCAGTAAACATCAGGTAACTTCGTCAATCTATCCTCAATTTTCTGAAAATCGTTATATAATCATGTGCAGAAAAAAAATTAATGTTATATACGGAAAACTTAATATATATTTGAGAAAGGGTTTGTGCAATAATCCCTCCTTGTAAACTGCTGACGAGTGCTGTGTAGGCTGCCATTTTGTTAATCACGTGACTTTTGATAATCTTGTGACTCGACACGTTGCGGTGATTGGCTACCACTCACGATTTGTCGCCGACCACCGCATAGAAATAGAACATGTTCTATTCCTGCGATAGCAGTCGGGGACCGTATTTTTAATCGTAAGAGAACTCATGTCGAGTTTGGTCGCCGATGTTTTTATCGGCGATCTGGCCGGTTTTTGACGTACGATATTCAAATCTTGTCGGCGACTAAGTCGTAAGGCCGACCTAAACGGGTTTTTAAAGGAATAATAGGTTCATTGATTATGCAATGTTGACGAATGCTAGAGTAACTGGCACCTTGTGTAGTTAATAAGTACATTACCTTATAGCCAAACGCATATTAGTTTGTCCAATGAATATCACTGCTGGTTACATTACAAACAAGACTTGAAATCGGTTGTTGATATATATCAACGTATCATTTACATGCCGAAAATGTCATCCAGGAGTCAAGCGATGACGTAAACATTTGTGCGGCCCGTATGTTTTGGACGCCAGATGAAACGGAGGTGACAGCGGTGTAACCACGGCCACGAACTAAACATGGAAATAGAGTAAAACACACGTACTAATCACGAACGCACGTGGACAGCTCTGACAAAAAGTTCCCTATCACGAGCGTCCATGTTTACGAAATCACTGATGATAGCATTGCGTACGGCAGAGCATGCGTGCGAAAATGTCCGGTGCACTATAAATCTGTATCACACCCGCTTCGCCGGCAGCGGTTTGAAACTGTAAACAATTACTGATTTTTGGACTGCGGATTTCAATTAGACATTTCTTAGTAACCAGCAGTGATTATTGGACAAACTAATACGCGTTTGGCTATAAGGTAATGTACTTATTAATTACACAAGGTGCAACTTACTCTAGCATTCGTCAACATTGCATAATCAATGGACCTATATTACTACGCAGTGGCTGGAGGTACGGTAGCCGTCGTTCGTTGAAGCCCCTTTTTGGCATTAGGGTTAGGGTTAGGTTTAGGGTTAGGGTTAGGTTTAGGGTTAGGGTTAGGGTTCTAGCTCATCTAAACTCTCAAATCGTGAATTTATTTCCCAAGGCGTTATTTCGAAATCTGGCGCCACCGCCGCCATCTTTGTCTCGTTAAGTATGAAAGCGAATGGACTACCGTACCCGTAGCGCCTCGAGACATTAAGATACGGCTACCGTACCCGTACCCGTAGCCACTGCCATATTATTATTAAGTACCTATTATTCCTTTAATTCCCTGTCTCCCCTACACAAGATATTATAATTTCATATTATTAATATTATAATTTATATAGTGAAAAAGTAGTGACCTTCATGTAGCCAACTAGCTGTATGGACGTGAACTTAAGGTCTCATGAGTCATATTCACTAGTCAGCCCCAGAGCACAACGCCAGGTCGGGCCGACCTCTTTACGTAGGGTCAGCTGTCGGTCACTGCCAGTTTTGGCCTCAGGGTTCGCATACAGCCATACTCAGTTCTAGTGATTCTCAGCACAGGCACTTGGAGCGTTTCAACTGTAAACACACGCCGCCGCCATTGCGCGCACACTGACACATCAATATATAGCAGGTGAG